CTTAGGACTGTACTATTGTGGTTTCAATTATTCTCAGGCCTCTCCAAACCTGTCSTTGAATTTCCCTCCATTGCAATCCCATACATCCCTGGCAACTTTTTGCATTATGKTTGGAAGTAYCTGACCACTATAAAGGGCACCATCACTGTTGACAGTGCACCTGGTACAAGCAAGCTCTCCCCTAGCATTTTCTCCCATCAATGTTTGGAATTCTACCATCCTACCACTACATATCCCTATCAGCCCAAGCCTGACAGACCAARCTGGAATGACTTTCACAAACTCCTGCACCGCATCTCCAGCGGTTCTGTCTCTGACAGGATTTTGACCAAAGCTTACCGCCTGGGAGACTGGCATCCTCCTCATACTACTAGTCATGGCGTGTGGAATGCTTATCTGTCTAATAATCATCAATTATGGACTTCACTAAGCCCAGGCAAGTGGCAGTCCCATCCTGTTGTACTAACCCAAATTGGAYCCCCACGGTCACCAAGTGTCTCTGGTAAATACCCTCCTGGAAACCATGTCCTGGTTCTCACTTGGACATCCCAAACAGAGGGCTTTCAATATGATCCAGCCAGTGTATGTCATTTTCGGAATGCCTGCAGCAGGCCCCTCTATCAGAAACCTAAGACATGGTCTGCAATTCTGCATTGCCTTGATCCATGGCAACATCAACTCCTCAAGCTGGTCCAGTTTGAGACCAACTTCTCCCAAGCTTTAGATGTGCTGGCTACTGGAATACCCCTACTCATGGTTTCAGATGGATCTGGTAAAGATGGTTGCATGTCCTTTGGTTGGTCACTAGCTACCACAACTGGGGATAGAATTGCTCATGCACATGGTCCATGCTTTGGCAGTGAGAGTTCTCTCTGCGCAGAAGCCACTGGATTGTTATCAGCTAGCCTCTTTGTCACTCTCCTTGTCTCACATCTTCACCAATGGTACCATAAACTGAAGCCTTGCTTTCATTCCAAATATGGAATGAAATCACAATCTCAAATTGATGAGAACAATACACAGTCTGAAACCAGTACCGGCRACGCAAGCTTGATAACCGCCCCAGAAAATAACTTGACCATTTTGAGCAAGTTATTTTCTGATGGATATCATGCAGAAACACATCCAACTTCCCCATGCCTATCCCCAGCACTGTCCCCTCAAAATCACAGAAAAATTAGAAATTTCCAAATTGATTCTGCTGTATTAGGCATTGAATTGGAAAATTTCCAAACTTTTATCAGCAAGCTGAATGATATGCATCTTCAKGACCAACATCATCATYTTTTGCCTTCGCCCTGCTCTTCTGATACAAGYATTTCAAGTTCATCTCCATCTATTGCCACCACACAACCTTGTCTAACACAGGTTACTTTTCTGAGCATCAGCAAGGCGCTAATAACTAGACTCCAATCCAGATGTGAATACACAGAAGTCTATGCCAATGCTACTCTAGCACCAGAATTTGACTTGATTGAACAGATCTTTCAAACCATCCAGTCTCCAACCATCACCTGCTCCTTCTCTTGGGTGAAAGGTCACCAAGATGACAACATTGCTTTTGATCAACTTCCTCTGCCAGCTCAACTGAATGTAGAAACTGACAGTTATGCTGGTGATTTTCAGGCTCAGATGACTACACTGCATTTCATCACACCAGTTTTACCTCCATGTCCAGCAGTGCTTCAGATCCAATCACACTCTGTCACAAGCCAATATAAGAGAGCTCTSACAGATTCATGTATGATTCCCTGATATCACGCATACTTGACAGATAGGAACCAGTGGTCTCCACGGGTCCTTGCCAATATTGCCTGGAAGTCCCTGAGCATTGCCATAAACTGCATCTCCAGGAACGTCTTGGTCACTAAATGTTGCAACCACATTCTGCCCACTGCCACTGTTTTCAAAAGGTGGAAATACCAAAACCATGATACTTGCTGTCTTTGCCAGATGCCTGAAGATTGTGAGCATCTCTTTTGATGTTCTCACTTATCACGACTCAGATGGCAACGGCAGACCATTACATCTCTACAGCAACGGATGTCCACACTTGGCTTCCAGCCAATTTCCATTGACACTCTTGCTACATGTCTCACCAAATAGCTAGACACTGGCACAGTTTCTCCAGAGAAATATCCTACACTCCTTCATCCACCAGTTAACCATTTTCAGAGCGAGATTGGGTGGCACCATGTGTTTGCTGGTCACATTTCACTCCAGTGGTTTACTGATCTTGATCTTCATTCCAGCTCTTACTCCCCGCTTGTGTTGGGGGGTTATCTTATTGAATTCTTTCTTACCTCCTATATATCATTATAGGAACAGCAAAATAAAGATCTTCATGGCTACACACTTTCTCAGAAGCAAGCAAAGCATCGACAGTGGGTGGTGACRAAAGTCTGCACTCTGTTTGAACTGAAATCACAGACCTGTCCATCCCACGCTCACCTATTCCCAGAGGATATGGAAGCCTTCTTATCAACTACATCTACTTYCATGCTCACATGTTACCATCGAGTCTACAAGAAAACRATTTTGGCGAGTGTCAACAAAGCAACGCTTGCCTCTGTCTCCAACACTGGCCCTATTACTCAGTACTTTCAACAACATTTGCCTCATAGTAAACAAATGAGCAAAAATCATTACTCTATCAGCTTTCATGTCCTTTATTTTTTTATTATCACCATGAGTACTTGTTATGTAGTGTGTCATTCAAAACCAATGTGTTCGTTTTTTGTAAGAATTCGTCATTCTCCAGGTTAGTCGAACCAGTCCAAAATATTGAGTCGCGTGTAGATCTGGAATGAATACGATTAGTAGTAGTACCTGTACTCTCCACGTGTATTTCTCGTGAGATTCTGAAGCGGGTGAACGTCGGGTGACGTCGGCCCTTGATCAATTTTTCCGATTTATATCTCGTACCGTACGCAACGTACGACACTGTTTTGCGATTACGAGTAAATTACATCTACATCTACATCTAGAACTACGTACTACGTACTACCCGTTTTTTCTACCTAGCTTCTACGCGTATCGTAAGTCGTAAGGTACAGTACAAGACCTACCAGTAGCTTCACCTCTGATTTTGGTTGCTTTGTTGTCCGGTAATACGGAAGGTACGTACAGATGTACTTAATAGCTAGAAAGAAAGTATCACTTCCCTCTTCAACGAGAATGTCGGAAGACCAAAAATCAAAGCACTTCTAGCATCGAACAATACAGGTCAATCACGAAGTAAAACAACTGTGAAAGCAGACAACACGCAGCTTGTGTACTACATTGCCATCATAATGAGAACAAGATTGACAATGTTGATAAGTATTAACCAGTAGAGCAAGAAAGCGGAAAATTTTGAATTGCAACTGACAAGTCGGAAAGATCAACAAATAAGTGTAGGACCTAGCGAGATACGGAAAAATAATATATTATCCACATTCGGCGAAGACAAATGTTGATTGTAAGAACCCGATCGTCACGACTTTTTCTTGTGGTGTTGCACCTCGTCTGTGTTTCCACTCATTTGCGTGCGAGAAACGAAAGGAATCGGATATCATTAAATTCAATATTTTGGGAAGAGGCGGCGGCATCCATTCATAGCCAAAGCCAAAGGCTACACACCATTACATCAATAATATCCGTGGCGGAGAGCACCAGTCGCAACGAGCTGATACGAGATATTGATGATTTGGAACCGTACTGGCTCCAAGATGCACAAGACCAAAAATGCTTTGGTCCAATGGGCCTTTTCTCGGAATGCGGGGATGCCAACCTTTGGCGTGTGATTCCAAAGTCGAAACGGCATGTTCGGCGAAGGCAATGGATTAAGTGGGCCATAGAAGACGACGACGTGGATCAAGAATCATTTCAAGGGTACTACGCCTTACAGGTCTTCGATCGGGATATCTCAGAATTTTACGACCCTTCCAAGACAAACTTGTCAGGTGGAACTGCACGCCCTTTCTCTCCTTCTTATAGCGATAAAGAATTCGCAACCGAGCAATGTATGACAAGGCGACGGAAAGATAACAAACTTGTCGTAGTACCTTGCTCTGAAGACCGAGCATGGTATTGGAAATTAAACGAATACGGGATATTACACTTTGACAAACCATCGAGAGGTTTCGTGGGTGGCAGTCGAAGGACGTCGTCTGCAAGTAGGAAACGACTTCTGAACAAACGGCAGAATCTTGAATTGTGTGTATGGAGGAAAAATTTATCGGATACAATATTATTATCCTGCAATGGTGACCAACCTGCCTCTGTGAATCATGACTCAACGTCTTCTGTGGACAGCAACGAGAAAGCCAGACTGGCCCATGTGCAGCTTGTACAYCACGATTACTCAAGAGATGGAAATATTGCTCAGTCTTCACCATTTGCGCTCGATAAAAAAACATTCAAGTCGAAGATAGAAATCAGGGTGCAAAATAAGGGAAATAAAGAGGTGCAAAAAGCTACAGAACAAACGGGGGAGACACCCTCTTCGCCGAATGGACATTTAAACCTACCATCTCAAGTAGACATTGCGCACAGTCATGCATCTGTATCTTCGAACCACTCCGAGCCTAGACTTTCAACTTTGCACATAACATCAATACTGCCCCACCAAACTCCAGAAAAAGTATCGAAAGAACTTCCTCGATTCCTTGGGAACACAAACCCAATTCTGATTGCAACAGGTCGAAATTTCACAGCAGCGACATCCAAAGGAAGTTTTTTGAAGAGCAAAGAGAGGAAGAAACCGAATTTGGGATTAGGKGTAAACAAGAATGCACCCCAATCAATCGTCCACACCAGAGACAGTATACCGTCATCCTTGTCAGAGAAACCCATAGTGAGAAAAATTCAAACCAATCCGTACATTGCAGCTTCCGACAATGAAAGGTGGACGGATCCTCAGACTGGTCTAGTCTTCCGAACTGATCTCTGTCAGTATCTTGGACACGATCGAAAAGACGTAGGGCGTCACACGTTGACGGGTGTTGGGCAGTATACGAAAACTATGTTGAATATTAAGGTTAGTGCTGATAGACAACACCGTGTCGGGATCTATCTGATTCTGCCTTCGACGTATTTGACACGAAATCTAAACAAGTTGCTTTTTTTTTTTCAAAACAAGGTTTATGGTGTCGGTTTTTACGTCTCGAAACGCGATATTTTGGCAGATTCTAGCGTCGAACCATATGCAGATATGTCATTGGAAGGGCTTCGACAGAGCGAAGATTTTTTCCACATCTTGCGATCCATGAAAGGATTCACGAACGGAAGTGGCGCCGCTGGTAGTTTTGATAGAACGATCTTTCTGAAAATCAATATGCAACTCTCGACAGACACAATGCGATCCAGTCTCGATGCAGATTGGAAAATGCTCACGCCAGAGTCAAAAGAATTATTGATTGGCTCCAGCATGAAACCAAGACCTGCAGATCCAATATTTTTAGAAATTGCCAAGTCGCCAGATAATCCGAATCGTTGTACGTGTGCACAAATTGCACCCCCGGAGTATAACGCAGATCCGTCGTGTTGTGCCCGAGGTACAGAGCTGGTTTTTACATGGAGAAAAAATGGCGATTTAGAGGTGAGTTTTGAAATGTTTGCTTTGCGAAGACATTTTKTAGCTAAGCTATATTGATATATCTCAATCTCAACTTTTTTGCCAGGTCCGACTCAATGGAGTATTTATGGATTCATTTCCTAGACCAGACATCGCCGAAGGCATATTTTTTGAGTATTTGCGCTTGGACAATCCGATGTCATACGACTTTTTAGATCGTGTGATGGATGGTTTTCCATCATTGCTAGCCCCACTTTCTCAGGTGAAAGGAATTACTACCCCTGTTACCGCGAAACAAACGAGCACGTCAAATCCAGCCGCTTCCGGCGTAAATCCGTTCTTGAAACTTATTGGGGGTTTTGGTGGGGCGATTTCCAATCAGGCGGCAACGTTTGCTGACTTTGTACAAAGCGGAACTCAAGAGTTGGCCGGTAGTGCTATGGACAAAGCCCGTTCGGTAGGATCAACAGCAAGAAACTTGGGCGAAGAAGTTGAACGACGACGAAATCTTATTGGGAAGCACATGTCGGCCTTTACAGATCAGGCATTATCATCGCTCGTCCCTTCGAATCAAAAGTCACTGTCAACCCAATATCCTGGCTGGATTACAGATAGCGAGTTAGGGAATTTATCTCATGATTTATTTGAGCAGGATACTTCCATTACGTCAGAGGATGGAACAAGCTACACTCGAACAATATCACGACTTATCGGGTTTGAGGATGATTCCATGTCGGCATCAAATGCAACTCAAAAATTATTCTTTGGCCTGGTTCACTTGTACCTGCTTTTGCTATTAATTGCAAGTTTTCCAGCTCAATGGACAACTCGGAGAAAATTACTGGTAGTTCGAAAAACTGAAACATCAGCTCATGATGTGGCTGTTCCCACCGATTCTGAAAACTCAGACAGTGACGATTCTGGTGCTTCATCTATTGAAACCCTTCATGCCGGGTTGATGACGACAGGGGAAGAAAATCATATCAAAAATGGGTTGAGCTTTGTTCTGTAATGTTGAAAACTGCATTACTCTCCTTGTCTTACCATGGATATGTGCCATGAGTTGACAAGCACTGTTGCCAGTGAGCCAAAATCATGAGTGGATAGTGAATAAGCTCACACTATCTAGCAAGAAAATGAACAAATTTAATAAATGTTTCAAGAACAACTTTTTCGTAGATCATATTGTAGATGAGTAGCAACAGTACGACAAYAAATTATTACCAAGGTGTCCTAATCTTGTTCTATTCAAGAAGACATYAGAAGTAAGCAAAATAAAGCATCTAGCTGAGATGTGGCTCCAGAAGTTACAGCAAGCAAAGGGTAGCTAAGTGCAGTTGCTCCTAACTGCTCTTAGCCTGAGTTATTGTAGTCTTGTCCTTCCTTCTTCCATATTGCTCTTGCTGGACTGGTGCGATGGGASGTTCTGGGCCTCTTGGTACTATGGTACCATATGTTTGTACTCCTGTGGTCTAGGATTCTACAGATCTAAGTGGTCAGTTATTCGACCTTTTGTAGTGTTTGCCGAAATTAGGATTTGACTAATGTGATTAGATCTACAAGTAGGGAAATGTGTAATGGTCTTGGGGTTTCGATGTGGCGTCTTTGACGCTGCTGACCCATTACTGTTTTGCGACTGGTTTTTCTCCATTGGAACACCTACTTGTTTGGTGGTAGGCCCATTGTGTTCATCATCTCTGCAGGAAGGTGGGTTGTCGGCCCTAGTTCCCRGTATCAGAGGCGTTGGAGGTGTCGCTGCTTGAGCGGTCTTGTCCGGAAGTGGGTTGGTGGCGGAGCTYGTATGCTGCAATGATATGGAGTCCCTTATGGTTCTTGGACTGGCAGGGCTGGGTTCTGTGCCAATTGGGAACAGCTTGCTGCCCAGCTTTTGCTGTGTGAGGGCATTGTTTTCGCCGGGGTGCATGAGGTAGTATTTTACCATGTCACTGACRTGGTACGCGTATTGGATGGGACTGGCGGTGGGTACATGTTTGCGCTGCGTGATGACTAGGAGGTGGCAGGGCACGTAGTATAAGGCCACTGTGGTGTGGTGATAGATGTCTCGGGTGACAGAGGATTCMGGGCATTTGTTCTTGTTCATTGCTAGGCAAGCGATTTCCAAGAGGACTGGGTTGATGAGTCGATCGGCTTCCTCAGTAGGTAGTTCTCCTTGCCAGGCATAGTAATTTGGGACCAGGAAYGTCTGGAAGGAGTGGATGGGGAGGGGGCAGAGTTGGAATTTGTCGTTCCAGGCGGTGGGGAAGGGTGGTGGCTGGGTGGGGTGGGGTGCGGTGCGGTGCGGTGCCATGCCGTGGTCAAAGTGTATGTGGCATTTTTCCCTGTGTTGAAGAGCTCCGTGTGCCATTGGCGGTGTTGCCCAGACACCAGGTGCCAAGGGCCATGCATTTGTTCCAAGGGTGTGTCCATGCYYCAAAGACAGTGAGGTCTCGTCATTGTGGTCCGTGGAAGTACATGTTGTATGTGTCTTTGAAGCTCTGTGCTGTGTAACTTGGGAGGGCCAATCCTTCAGGTTCAGGTGCGATGTGTTTGCACTTGGTGGGCATTGCTTGATAGAGGCCCRTGCGGCGACGTTGGTGGTCGGGGCTGCCTTGGGCACTGCTGGCTGGGGAGGCGTTTTTGCTGGCGGTKGCTCCCTCCCCCGGAGCGGAGGCTGTGTCTTCCTATCGCTGTGGCTGGGATTCCCGTATCGTTGAGGCAGAGGGCTTGCACTGCTTCTTGTATCGCGCAATTGAGGTCGCCCACATGCAGTGGGACTGGGTTTTTAGCAGTGGGACTGGGGTAGTATGAGCTGATGCATGTGGTGGCTGGYGCSCCTGCATMAAGGAGTGTTTTTAAGCGGATTATGAGGGTATGGACCGGGCAGGTTCCTCCTTTGCAGCGTTCATGGTGAATGCTCTCAATKTGTTTGCCGTTTTTTTGGTTGTGGAAGCACAGGGTTGCTGCTGTGCACTTGTCAAGGAGTGTTGGCAGTGGTAGCATTGGGTCAAGGCGTTGTGTGYGGTGCCACAGTGTGACGTCGTTGATGGTGAGTGGTGTGGTTTGGCGGGCAGATGGGGAAGGTGATGTGGTGTATTTGCCGACCCACAGGAGGAAGAAAAAGGCGATTATCGCTGTTTYGCCTATTGCTTTTGTTTTTGGRCAGGGCAAGTTGTTGCCAAGGTGGAGGAGGTATTGGGGGAGCGCGAGTGGGACTTGCACTGCCAGGCGCGGTTGCGTGGTTGCGGTGGTGGGTCGCCTTGCTCATAGCCTGCCAAAAGTTGCTGAAGGGCTTTAGGGTAGGAGTCTTGCGGTAGTCCCAGCAGGCTTTGTTGGCCAGCCAGTTGGAGCATCGTGGAGATGGCCCTGAGCGCATGTTTGACAGTTTGGCCACAAACCTGGGTGGTGCTTCCTGTGACTCTGCCGGACCGTACATCATGGGCGTAGGCAACCAGCATTGTGATTTGGTAGGGTCTCGGGGTGTTGAGGTAGGGTCCGATGGTGGGGAAGTGAGTTCCCACCCAGTTGGTCCAAAGGTCCCAAAAGCACCGTCACATGCACGTAGTCGCGTCCACCATGCCAGTGGTGACTGCTTCATTTGAAGCATGGAAAAGATCTTTGAGGCGGTTGATGTGGGGTAGTGGTACAKCGTCCAGTAGCCTTGCTGTAGTGGGGGGAATGCGTTGGTGAAGGAAGACAGGAAGTGTTCAGGGTTAGTTGGGTGTGGTCTGGAKGCTTAATTGGCCATGACATTGTTGGCTCCTGGGATGTGGCACACATCGAGGGGTGCTGCCGTTTGTTGTCATGTGTGGACTGCRAGTGCACGTAGGGGCTTGGTCGCCACTGGTGATGTGGTGGTGCGGAACTTGTCAGTCCAGTGCACTGCTGCCAGGTTGTCGCACYAAATTGTTGCCGTGCGATAATGGAGGGAGGCGTTGTAGCGGCAGATATAMGCAGAGAGGGTGGTAGTGTGTAGTACAATCCCAGCTAATTTGAGGTCACAGATTGAGAGGTGCCCCAAGGGATTATTTGGGAGGTAAGTGCAGTTGTAATTTCTGTTGGCCATTGGACGAACCACACACAAGGTTCCAGCTGCTCTGTGCCACTGAACCAGATGCCRTYGGCTCCCCAGTGAGAGGCTTCAACAAAGCCCATGTAGCTGGGTGTGTGCATGACAAGTTCCTTGACGTGGGTGGGTCTGTCTCTTGCCATCTTTATGAGTGCTATCCAATCAGTCATGAGGGTGGTGATGGCAGCATTGGTTTTGATTTTTGTGGCGCCCACTTTTCTGGCTTGAGGTAGGATGCGGTCGGCTGGGCCAAGAAGGGCGCGGCCACAGGGGAGGGCGATGGAGGCAAACTGGAGTTTGCCATGGAGTACCTCAAAGRTTTTTGTGTGCATGGTGGCGGCGGTGCAGACAGAGTGGAGGAGTTGGAGAATGTTGTCTTGTTTCTTGGCAGGGAGTCGGATGGTCCGGTTGATGCCATCAAACAACCAACCCAGTATTTCTTTTGTGGTGTCCCATTGGCCCTCCAGATCCAGTTTTTTGGTTAAGATGGCAGGGCCCATGGCGCTTCCCAAGATATCTGGTCTGGGAAATGTGTTGTCAATGGCATGGAGRAGGTGTCTAGCCACGTTTCTGAAGTGGGCTGGGTCGTTTGATTGTACCATTGCGATGAAGTCATCAATGTAGACTTCAAGCGTGGTGGAGATTGTTTTGGGTGACGCATGCGAGAGGGTATGTCAGGGGAAATTCATGATCGTTTGTTCCATTAGGTGCTCTTGGTGGGGGATGTGGCGTTGGAGGGTAGTTTCTSCTACATCCCTTGCTGTCTCATTGGCAGCGCAAAAGAAAGGTGGACTTTTGCTCCACCCCATTTGGGGGTCCATGGATCTTGGTTTTCAGGTGGTGGGTTGGGCTGTTCCTTGAGGATGGTGACAATGGAGTCTCAGACGGCTGGGGCAAGGGTTGGCATGCTGGTGGTTGTAAGCTTTGGAATTTGTGTTGTACAAATGTTACTTTGTGAGCATTTG